GGGGCGCGCGCCGAAAAAACGCAACTCTCTGGTCAAAATTTTCCATAAGTTGCCTAAAACGCCTTTTACCTGTTGTTTTGAAGCTTTGCCTGCGGCGCAGAAAATTTGGTCGAAGTGGGATCTTTATAGAAATTTAGCAGAGCTCAGAAAATCATTTAGTCGACGTAAAAAAAGACCGACAAAATTTCCAATTGTTTTGAAAATCCACCCACCTATTCGAATAATTCCCAGATCCGCTCCTGATGTCAACCAAATTTGAATTTCAGCTTCCTGCTTAGAGATAGAATAGAAATAACAGACTTATTATACTGTCGAAAATTTTCATTTTTCTAGTCTGAAATAATTTACAAAAAACCTGAGAAGAACAATTTACCGACCGGAAAAAATTGGCATGCATCTTGGTATACGGCGAACTCTATTCTGATGTAGACGCGTTGATTGAGGATAATGGCAACTTTTTTCACAAGACTCATTAATAGCTTCAAGCGTGGTGTTTAGTCAGTCTTTATAATATATTTTTATCAGGGCAAGATGGATTAATGATCACGACTAAACAGGTTCAAGTTAGAAAACTGGTATGCTGCCAACCAGTTCGCAGAAAAATCACAGCAATAATTTCAGGTCAATTGATCGTTTCAGCTCTGATATTTCTGCAAATTGATTCGCACTATACCAGTTTCTACCTTGAACCTCAATTAGTTGTGATCGTTATACCATCTTATTGTAATTGGAAAATTTTTTTCTCTAACAACTAAATACCTAAGGTTCTACTTAGCCGAGTTAAGTCAATCAAAGAAAATTTTAAAATTTCGGATAACTTCAAATAATGTTCTAATAAATTTTTTTTATTTCAACTAATCAAATTGTGTCATTCTATAATTTGAAATGATTGTTTTAAACAGTTAAACATAGGCGGGCCAATTTTCACCGCGCCTCAATTAGATCAACACTCATTGAATCGTCAAATCTAGGCTTTTTCATTCCCTTGTTAATCTAGATTATGCCCTTAGGTTAAATCAGATGGTAGATATTGGCGTTTGAAGTCTCGGTGATGTTGAAAAGTTCAGCCTAATCGAGCAAGGAGCAATAAAAATAAAATTTTGTTGGTCGGTCCTAAGTTTAACCATTATTTGTAGACCTGAAAATGGATTCGAAAAAAAAATGAATTGAGGCAACTATATGGTTCGGAAACAATATATCAACTGCAATTTTTGTTTTAGCATGCGCAAGACAAGTTAGAGGCTGACAGTGTCCCCTGACAGGTGCTCACACGGAAATTAATGAGCTTTGCATAATTAAATGCTATAAACATATTGCTATTTCATGGGGACAATCTGAAAAAATTTTAACCCTGAGGTTTAAAAGTTTTAATCACCAGGTAAAGCTACATATAACGCACACAGTTCGAAGAACGAAATGAACTATCAATTTAACAACCTAAGCCATAGTTTTGTTCAGCAACCATGGTTATGGAAAAACTGAATCAAGTTGTAAACGATCTCTGGCATGTCTGGAAATTGAACAAGAGCTCATGGCAGGCAGAAGACAGGTGCGTCAAGCAGAAGACAGATTTTCCAAATTCAGATGTATAAAAATATTTGCCAGTATAATCCGACATCATTCAAACCGGAATTGTTCCCAGATCTGTCAACTTTTGAAATCGTATATATTCATAGCTTTAGTTCAAGTTATGACTCATATATTTTTTTATTAGGGTAACTTTTTTTTCTCGACATTATTGCCCTCCTTAAAAAATGAATGTTCTACTCCCGACTTGGTCACTTAGTATGGCTGTATTTTTTCAAAAACAAAATTGTTGCAGTGCGTTAGCTGGTTCTGTTGGTGACCATTGCTTACTTTTTTACTGTTACGATCGGTATACAATATATACAATCTACTTTGTTGCTGAAAAATCCCGTCGCCTCATCGAGGCTCTTCTTATCATATATATTGGGGGCGTCGGAATCCTTCCATATATTGGGGGCGTCGAAGTTTAATTCCATTCTCCCTTGTCCGGTTGAAATAGTAGGGTGAGGCTTCTAAAGTAACTCGCCATCATCTCCGTTGGTGCCAGCGCAGGAAATCATACAGACTGTTTGGAGCCGAAAATTTGCGTAGCCCTTTATGCAGCTGAATCCTCCTAAACAAAAGATCCTTAGATGTCGTTAACCTCTTCCTTTATTTTAGGTCCCTCTGATTGGCAGAGGTTGTTTCCTTATGATATCTCATAAAAAATTCTCTCTCAATCTGGACGGCATTTATTTAAACCGTTTACGGCTGCCTCCAAGTTCTGGATTTGCTCTTTTAAAGCTGCCGCTTCAAGTTTGGAACCTTTCAGGTCGTTAGCAAGTTGAACCTTCGTAACTCCAGCTTCTCGCTGTAGTCCGAGAAAACTTTTCAGCCTCTTGAAACTGCTCATTCAAAGTATTTTATTCATGCATTGATATTGATGGCATGTTTACCAACTTAGTCGCATTACAGCCCAAATCTTAAAAAGATTTGATAGAAAAAAATTAAACTCCCCGACTTCAGGCTCTTTTCATTTACATCTTTAACTATTTGAACGTGTTTGAACTTCTGATGTCTTTTTCATTGGGCTTTTGTGTTTTCTTGATCTTGGGGAACTTTTTCATACTACCGCCCATATTGTACGGTTTATTTGCGCGATAAACTTTGTACGAGTATTTTAATCAGTAATGACAACTTATTGGCACCCTTTATTAATCGATAATTGACTTTCCAAGGGTTTATTTTTCAGATCTTATGACTGAACCAAGTACCATTGCTCCTTTAGTTGTTTTTCTGAAGTTAATTATAGCTTCGATGTTTTTCGCTTTAAATATGATCTTATTTTTCCTTAGTCTTTAGCAACATGCTGTATAGTGTTTATTTTTAAACGATATTTGTGGTAGCCAAAAGAATTTGTTCGAAAGATTTCAGAGGCTGATATTTTTGGTTTAAAGTCTACAGATCTGTTTTTAATTATATTTTTACTCTATTAGCTTTGTATTAGTTAAAAATGCCATTTCTATTTCACCTATGTCGGGTTGCTTTTTCAATATCCTGCTCACCCTAAATAGTCCCGTATTCAGACAGTGTAATTTTAAAAATTAAATAGATTTTGAAACAACCAGACAATACTCTGTTTTGCTGCTATTAGAGACGTTTTCTTAATGTTTCTCTAACCCAGATTCTCGCCAACCAAAGTGATGGTTACTTCAGCATCTATCAATATTACAGTGACAAAATTGTTAATTCTTGTCGAGTATCATGCATTTTTTTAATGCAGCAATATAATATCAACCGACCATTGGCTATGCCAACCTGCATTCAGTTTCAAGCGTTAATAATTGATTATATTATGATTTTAGTACCAGTAATACTAAAACTGAGAAAAAATCTATTTTAATTAATTAAAAATTGATTATAATCTCTTTTCAAAATCAAATTATAATTCATTTTGATCGACTTTAATTGATTATGAATCCATTCATTTTTCGAGTACAATTATAATGGATAATGATTGAATATTGCTATCGCAATTTCTAGGTCTAATGGTTTGCACAAAAAATCCATAATAAATTATTATAATTGTTATAATCTTTTTTGTTTGCCCATTTAATCTTCGACCTTGCTTCTGAATTGCTTATATTGTATGCTTTTCACAGTCGTGAAAAATTCGAAATTTGATTTAGCATTGTTCGCAGCAATTCAATTTTATAACGCTTTTTTCACTTTTCCTCGATTAGGATACTTTTATGATGCATATTTTAAGTTTTTAACCACCGAAACATCAGTACCTTGCCTTAGGTTCATGATTTATTTGGAAGAATCACCACGGGAACTTTTCAACTAATATGAAAGGATCTCTATGAAACTTTTGTTTCATGGTAAATTGTGTGATCAGATGAACCAAAGTCTGACAAGACATTTATAACTTGGAGAAAATCTATATGCATGAAAAGGATAAAATGGTGTAAAAACGCTTTGGAATTTGTCGCCGTGGAATTTTCGGTCAGTTGTGAGTATGGTGCTTAAGTACTGGCCTCAGCTATTTTTTCAATTTGTTTGTAAGATTGTAAGAACATGACACGTACAAATTTTTTCTACTGTACAAAAAGTTATTATTACCAAAATTCTTAGGCTCCCGCAATTTTGATTGAGCGTCGAGGTTGTTTTCTGAGATGCTCATTATAACTATCAAATGCCGAGTATTGTTGATTGTTCGCAAATGTTAAGTTTTTTGTGCGCAAGAGATTTTTTTTGGAATAAACTTTTACACGATTCTGTTAATAAGCTCGAGATATTTTGCAGAAAATAATCAATTTTATCGATTCTTTTTTTGAGAAATCAATTAGGGGCCATGTTGCGTAAATTTGTGTAAAATCATATCTGTGCTCAAAGTTCAACCGACGTTACAACTTTTATAATAAAATTTTTACCAAGGAGGTTGAATACATCATTAAACTAGAGGGGTAAAAAAGACTGAAACGGAGCGAACAAAAATGGGTAAACGTATTGTTGGTATGGAAACGCAACAATTCTGATTCGCCAAACTTTTACGCGCAAGTGACTGGGTCAGCACCAAGTCAAACTGCCCCAACCCCAGCATAAAAAGCGAGCTCTCAAAAATCTAGTCAATTGCCAAACTTTTACGCGCAAGTGACTGGGTCAGCACCAAGTCAAACCGCCCCAACCCCAGCATAAAAAGCGAGCTCTCAAAAATCTAGTCACTACCCGTTCAAATTTTTCTCTCCCTGCCTTGCCTCTTTTCCTCTGCCCTTTCTCCCTTCGCAATTTTCGGTTCCTACTTGGCTCCGTTTTTTACCGCCTCCAACACAGCTCTCAATCGAGTTGGAATGGCGCCCTCGCTAGCAGGACTTGATATGAGTGAGGAATTCAGGGCTACACACGAAGCAAGGAGAAAAAACGTAATTCAGAAGAATTTTGTTTTGAACTTGTTTTTTTTTTCTTCAAGATATTGACTTTTCAAGCTTTTTCATTAAACATAAAAATTTACTCCATAAATTATAGCAGAAACACTACGGGCAAAATTAGGCGGGTCATGTGATCAATTCTGTTTCGAGTGCAGTTTCAAAAAAAGAACTTTAATCGATATTTATTAAAGCAACTGGAGACTAAAAGACTACATTGCCAATTCACTAATATTTTTCTGGAAAGTCTTGAGCAAGGGCACGAGTCTAAAAACACTTCTGCGAAAAAAACACATTCATCAAGGAAATAAGTTAACTTGAAAACGACGTAATTTTTTTAATAAAAGTGTTGGAAACGTTAAAGTAAACTTGCGCATGATTAATTTCACTTTTTTATGAACTGGTGATGAAAATCTAGCAATTGACTTAATTAGAGTTCTTGTTCTAGTTGAAAACTTTCAACCAGTGAATATTCCAGTACGATTCTTTGAATGCTTCCGGATTATCCTTGACGTAGTCATTACATGTGCCTTTACCGGGACAGTCATTAGAGAAAACAATACCAGCCCAGTCCCCGCAAAAGGTCAAGTCAAACACCACCTTCTGGTTTTGAAAACTATCCGGAGAGCAGAAAGTTCCAAACGGGAAAGCAGCATATGGTACACTCCAGGTGTCGGGTTTCGGGTCGCTTCCGAGAACATCACTCGGAATGTGTCCTTCGTTCCAAAACCACGACTTGATTCCAGCCGAAGTCCACTCGACAGCGTAGACTCCTCCACCGACCGAGTTGAAGTTGCCGCCATATGCGTTCGGATTGTCAGATGCAACCGTGCATCCAGCTGGCGTGTCGTAAACATCGCAGTTGGAAGAAATCACAAAACCTGGAAAAACACATGAAATTTGAAAAGGTCATTTGTCACATATGTTACTTGTCCTATTGTAACATATTTTTAGAGCTCTGTAACATATTTTTCAAAGTTAGTATATATTGACGCCCAAGGCGCCTTTAGAAACGTTTTAGGGTCGTTCGGCCAAAAATTGATTTCTTAAAAAGAAACCAAAGGGGGACTTTGGGTCGGCAGGGGGTCGAATCCCTGACGAAAGGTGGCGTCCGCCCTCCCGCCCTCCGCCTAAATCCGCCACTACTTCCCAACATCGTCTTTTGGCAAAATCAAGTTTCAAAATTTTCAAGCTTCAAAGAACGTATTGAACGCCAATATTTCAAAATTTTTACAGGAGAGCGAGCGATTTTAGAAAAAAAATTTTTAGAACTTTTAAAACAATGATTTTGGTCTTCCTAAAGAATTTAACCCAAATTTTAAGTTATCATCATCTTTTAAAAAATCTGCGCCTGTACAAAGATGATGATGCTAGAAAGATTAAAATTCGGTAATAATTTTTTTTCCTGATAAGTCAAACCAGTGAGATTTCGTGTAGTATTGGCAAAGTCGCAATGAGTTCCAGTGTGCAAAGTAGTGACGTCATAGCTTTGCTGATTCACACCTTCGATCACATCGATTTCACCACTGTTAGGCCAGTTTGGTCCCACCGTCCAAAACGCCGGCCAGGATCCGCATCCGAAAGGCATATGTGATAGATACAAAATGAACAGTCCGGAATTGAACACGCGAACCGTCTCAATGCGGATCGAATCCCGACCTCGTCCAGTAGCTATTCGCTCGTGATCGCATCCTATATAAGTGTCTCCACTCTCAGAAGTGTTTATGTAGCCATTAGCCAAAGCGGTTGGATAGTCAACGAAATTCACGTAGCCATGGGTTGGGTCATCTTCTGTTATGAAAGTGAAATGATCGAAAAACTGCTCGCCACTAGCTTCTAAAGTGAGGTTCCAACTTTGAACTTGAACTGATTTCGAGAAAAAACAGGCCAGAGTGAAGAATAGATCGGCAAAAATGTAGCGATTTCTCATTGCGAATGATTATCAAACTTAGAGGAAAATGAGTTTTGAGTTTCTTACTTTTCGATGTTTGAAGAGCTTTTTGACCGAAAAGAAAATATTATCATAAACTAATACTAAATTATGTAGGTGTCTTCTTGTATTGACATATAGTCCATTCAATTCAAACAAGTCGAGCTCGTTTTTGCGGACAATGATATTAATTCGTGCTCGTTGCTTGAGAATGAGGCAACATCACCCAGCTCAGAAAAGAACCAAAAAACAGCTTGAAGTTCTTAAGCAGTGGCTCAACAGCGGTTCGTATGTTGGTTCTTTCCGTAGGAGATAAACCGCCTTATCTAATTCAATTTAGAAATTAAGTTTTTTAAGAGGGTTTCTAATTTTTCAAAAGGTGTTCAGCTATGGCATACTTCATGACAGTAAACTCAAACGTAGCACTGATTTGCAAACATTTCAGTTCAAGTTCCACCCTGGAATTAACTTCAAGCATTTATTTTTGCCCTTCCAAGTAAACTTAATAGTTCCGCACTGAGGAATACAAAATCAGCGACCGCCATTTATGAAAATGAAATTTTCCGTTAATTATCTAGCAAAATTATTTGATTCTAACTTGGCAATGAATTCGAGCGCGAGACAGGGTTGTAGCATCAAGTTAATGTTTATGCAAACAAAAACAGTTTTTTTCTGGGGTTATAGAAAGATATCAGATAATACTCCAGGAAACATGACAATTAATTTATGAACAAAAACAATTCTCGGCTGATAAAACATTCATCAGCCAGCGCCTAATTCAAACCGTATTAACTAATTTTCGCTTAGAAAAACAGGCATGTTACTCGGCCAAACCATGTAGTCAGCTGTCTAGTTAGAGGTAAACTTTCGAATTAACGCTGATTCTGGTTTTTTCTTTTCTGGACTACAGCATTTTTTGGCTCTTTTCCTCTCCCCCCTTCAAAATACCGAGTTTTATGTTTGTTTTACGCGACCGCCATTTATCTTTCCAAACAAATAAAACTGGTTTTAAAAAAATATATGTTATTACGGCTAAGTGCGTGGTGTTACGCTGTAAAGTATGAAGAACAAATCTGTTCACAGTTGTCGATTTGTTCACCACGCCAAATTTCAATGCATTATGACAATGTTAAAACGACTTTTCAAAATTGAATTTGAAAGGGGGGAAATGGAAAAGAGCCCATTTTTCTTTTAAAAATTTTTAACACAAGCGAAGCAGAGCTCCCCGTCCTTAGCGATCCAAAACAAGAAAACCATTAGGTAAAAAACTTAAAAATGTCAAAACTTTGATCTTTCCAAACAAATAATTTTTTTTTAAAAAAGTAAATGTTAGAAAAACATAATGCGAAATAAGCATTGGAAAAAAGCTCAACAAGCGGAAATAAAGCCAAAAACTTGGGCTGAAACTATTTAAGCAAAATGGTATTACAATCAACATAAAACAAACATAGCCAATCGAAGATTGGAAAAGAGTAATGAACTTAAGTAAACATAAAAAACACTGACTTTATTGAAAAAACTTCGTTTTTCGAATTTCAAAGAAAAAAATAGATGCCCTTTAAGTACTTTGATATTCTAGAATTTATTTTTGACGCTTTTTTGATAAGAATAATCTAACTTGAGAAAACTGGATCAACAGATTAATCTTTTTTTTTGCTTGAAATCTAAATGATAAATTCGACGTTCGAAAGTAGAAGTTAATCATGTTTTTGCACCATTTCCACATTCGTATTTGTAGAGATCTAATCACGTCACTTTCAGCAGATGAATTCCAATTGAACTCAAAAAGTGAGTATATACCTTAGTGCATTAATAAATGCATCAATATGCATGAATGCACATCTGTAGTTACTAGAGACTTTCAGGCACATTTTCAGATTTTTATCCCGAAAAATAATCAGCAAAGCCTAAGTGAGAGCCTTCACTATGTTCATTTTTCTTAAAAATAAATTTCGAATAAGATGAAAATTTAAAAACCTAAAAATCTCAAATGTGTTTGTTGCAGTATTTTAAAAAGATAGGACCAGGAGATGTGTTCGGGAGATAAGCCCTGTGAACAGTCATCAACGGGAAAATGTTTAGTAGAGGTTGCAAAACAATTGCTATGGCAAGCGTAATGAATCGTCATTTTAACTTTCCAGTTTCATAAAATAAATTATGCCACTTATTTGATTTTAATAATTTTTTTTGAGTTTGATATTGCAATCAATGTATTAGAGACACAAAGGCAAAATGGTAAAATTGCTTAAAACCGGACATTAGTTATTCCAAATTAGACACGTGCCTTTTTCAACCATCTCTCCGAACGTTTCAAAAAAGAGGATCATCACTTTCAAGTATTGTTCTTCCGATCATTTAAAAAAGGGGGGGGGGGATCTTTGTATTCTGGTGTTTTTGTTTTTCTTTGTTTCCAGGCAGCATTAAATATCACAAATAATCAGCAGAATCGATCGAGTGATCAATCATTTAAACGCCATTTCAGTCGTGACTGGAACCTTAAAAAGTTTTCCTTTTTTTGAGATTTTGTCTAAGGTCAAGTGAGTAAAGCGAGCAAGCAGGCTTAATTATGCTTGTTTTAAGCCATTTACAATATTCTGTTTGTGCCTAACTTTAGTTTTATTCAAGTATGATTCACGTTTTGGGAATCAAAAATACATTTTTTAGACTTTTCTCGAAAAAAAACAGTTGCCCAATTTGCTTATTTTACTATGACTGTCGAATATGCCAAAGCTCCAGTTTTTCGATCAGTTTTTTTTGAACGACAACCTTGAATTGTTTTTTACAACTATGGTCGAAAACTTTTAATTATTGAAAAATCTAAAATTGAAGTCAGCTGTTGAAAAAAAAAGAAACTTAAGCCAATTTGGTGCAGCAGTGGCACATTTGCTATTTGCAAGCGAAATTTGCATTTCAATTAGCTAAAGAAATTGAAACAAAGCCAGCAATTTCAAGAGTTTTGTGTGGAAAAAAAATATTGTAACCAAATTAAATTAATATAATTATTTGTCTTTGTTTCAAAACGTTCAATTAAGCATAAAGATTCTAGTTGTTGGTATTTTAGGGACTGATTTATACGCACAGAGGCGAAGTTGCGCTTAGCAATTATTTCCGAGAACACGACCAAAAAGCAGCTCTATCAAGCAAAATAAGAAAAGTAGAATTAGGCCTCGTATTATCAAGCTCGGCTATGTGTCGGATTCGAATCTACACCTAGCGAATTTGAGTCTCACTCACTTAACACTCAGCCACGAATGCTTAAAATCCCCAAAAACGAGCCATCAAAAACGCAGCTATATATTCTAGAAAATTGCCAATTTGATGCAGCAAAAATGGCACCAAATACAAAAAGACAATTTTGCATGTAATAAATCGGAAAGCGTAAAGCCAAATTATGTAAAACTGATGCATTTCAAAAAAATTGCGAGGTACATTGAGCCGGAAAATTTTTGCAATCGAGCTTTTTTCCCTTGTACTGCTGTTTGAAACAATTTTGTACTGCTGTTTGAAACAACGTTCTCGATTCATTTAAAATCCACCAGCTGTACTAACTTTTTACAAATCAAATATCAAACACAGACGATATTACACTGCTACCGTAGCCTACTGAATCAAAGTGCCACAAAGAGAAGCACTTTTATTTTCGACTCAGGTTGAAAAAAAGGAAGTTCGTACTATTACACTTTTCTTCGCAAGTTTAAAAACAAACTATTCGGACACATTCCTGAATTCAAATCATAATTTTGCTCACATTTTTTTGGGAAGCGAGAAAAAGGTCAGGAATGAAAAATGGAAAGGAGAGGTAAAACTAATAAGTTTTTCCATGAGCCCGAATCGAATCCATACCTTAGACCAGATCACAAGTCCTGGCATCTTACGCCATGGTTGCTTGCCAATTTTCAACATAGAGGCGAAGCTGCACTTCGCAAACACTAGCCAGAAAACGACTGAGCAGCTTAAGAGAAATAAGAAAAGCTTAAATAATTTTTGAATAATAAAACTCTTGCTGTCGGATTACAACCTACAGCCTTTTAATTTCAAATCTGCGCCACGGCCCCTTGAAAAGGTTCTAATTTTAGCCACCAATGAGGCGACTACAGATGCCAATGGATTGCCAATGCTATGCAGCAAAAGTGCTACCAAATAAATGTTCTCTCAACCGGGCTTTAGAAGAATTGTCATTTTTAGAAGACGATTTTTAGAATTTTTTTCTGCCAAAAATTTTCTGCGGGGATCGGAATTTTGAATTAATTATCATAAATTAAACAACATGCTCCCTCTACACCACACGAACGAACAAAACGCACTCATCGTAAAACGGCAAACAGTACTCGTTATTCGACCGCTAGACAAAACTTACATCTACATCATCAAGTGCGCAAATAAAATTACCTCGACACATTTTGAAAACACTTCTAAATTATCAACTCAATTCATTAAAAACCAGCACTAGAATCACTGCCAAGCCAGCACATAACATGGATACGGAATAAACGACTATAAATTAAGTGCGACATAATTAAAATAAGGAGAAAACAAAATAAAAAAAACAACCAATCAAGAAACATTTAATCAAATGTAAAGTAAATTGAGTTCAGTTGGCATAAGAAAAGTTCAGTTTTCACATTGAATTTGATTCCCAGTCTCTGAACTGAGAGAACTTTTTTCTCTTTATTAAGTTCAGATTAACTAGAGTGCGTTTGTTCATTAATGCGATCAAGTTTGTATTCAGCAGTCATACGGTTTATTCAACATCATCATCTTCATCTGAATCGACTAATCCTTTGTAGTTAATTTGCTTTTTAGCTCGGCCAACTCTGCTACTTTTCACAACGGGTGAGTCATCGTCATCATTATCATCGATTTTAAACTCGTCTTCTGATTCATCGTCTGATTCGATTTTAATCGCTTTCACAGGAGCCGTTTTCTTCTTGGGAGCAGTAGTCCTGGAAGATGTTGCTGGTTCTGGTTTCGGCTTGGAGGACGCGGCAGCAGTTTTTGGTTTCTTGGCCACAACTACTGGACTCTCATCATCAATGTCCAGGTCATTTTCTGCGTCTCCGTTCATATGTTTTGTGTGGAAAAAAAATATTGTAACCAAATTAAATTAATATAATTATTTGTCTTTGTTTCAAAACGTTCAATTAAGCATAAAGATTCTAGTTGTTGGTATTTTAGGGACTGATTTATACGCACAGAGGCGAAGTTGCGCTTAGCAATTATTTCCGAGAACACGACCAAAAAGCAGCTCTATCAAGCAAAATAAGAAAAGTAGAATTAGGCCTCGTATTATCAAGCTCGGCTATGTGTCGGATTCGAATCTACACCTAGCGAATTTGAGTCTCACTCACTTAACACTCAGCCACGAATGCTTAAAATCCCCAAAAACGAGCCATCAAAAACGCAGCTATATATTCTAGAAAATTGCCAATTTGATGCAGCAAAAATGGCACCAAATACAAAAAGACAATTTTGCATGTAATAAATCGGAAAGCGTAAAGCCAAATTATGTAAAACTGATGCATTTCAAAAAAATTGCGAGGTACATTGAGCCGGAAAATTTTTGCAATCGAGCTTTTTTCCCTTGTACTGCTGTTTGAAACAACTTTGTACTGCTGTTTGAAACAACGTTCTCGATTCATTTAAAATCCACCAGCTGTACTAACTTTTTACAAATCAAATATCAAACACAGACGATATTACACTGCTACCGTAGCCTACTGAATCAAAGTGCCACAAAGAGAAGCACTTTTATTTTCGACTCAGGTTGAAAAAAAGGAAGTTCGTACTAATACACTTTTCTTCGCAAGTTTAAAAACAAACTATTCGGACACATTCCTGAATTCAAATCATAATTTTGCTCACATTTTTTTGGGAAGCGAGAAAAAGGTCAGGAATGAAAAATGGAAAGGAGAGGTAAAACTAATAAGTTTTTCCATGAGCCCGAATCGAATACATACCTTAGACCAGATCACAAGTCCTGGCATCTTACGCCATGGTTGCTTGCCAATTTTCAACATAGAGGCGAAGCTGCACTTCGCAAACACTAGCCAGAAAACGACTGAGCAGCTTAAGAGAAATAAGAAAAGCTTAAATAATTATTGAATAATAAAACTCTTGCTGTCGGATTACAACCTACAGCCTTTTAATTTCAAATCTGCGCCACGGCCCCTTGAAAAGGTTCTAATTTTAGCCACCAATGAGGCGACTACAGATGCCAATGGATTGCCAATGCTATGCAGCAAAAGTGCTACCAAATAAATGTTCTCTCAACCGGGCTTTAGAAGAATTGTCATTTTTAGAAGACGATTTTTAGAATTTTTTTCTGCCAAAAATTTTTAGAAAGAAGGACCATTAACCATGATTGTAGCATTCTGTGCTACTGGCACAGCAACCGGGTACATTTTTAAAAAAGTTTATAACTCTCATCTAAAAGCGGGGATCGGAATTTTGAATTAATTATCATAAATTAAACAACATGCTCCCTCTACACCACACGAACGAACAAAACGCACTCATCGTAAAACGGCAAACAGTACTCGTTATTCGACCGCTAGACAAAACTTACATCTACATCATCAAGTGCGCAAATAAAATTACCTCGACACATTTTGAAAACACTTCTAAATTATCAACTCAATTCATTAAAAACCAGCACTAGAATCACTGCCAAGCCAGCACATAACATGGATACGGAATAAACGACTATAAATTAAGTGCGACATAATTAAAATAAGGAGAAAACAAAATAAAAAAAACAACCAATCAAGAAACATTTAATCAAATGTAAAGTAAATTGAGTTCAGTTGGCATAAGAAAAGTTCAGTTTTCACATTGAATTTGATTCCCAGTCTCTGAACTGAGAGAACTTTTTTCTCTTTATTAAGTTCAGATGAACTAGAGTGCGTTTGTTCATTAATGCGATCAAGTTTGTATTCAGCAGTCATACGGTTTATTCAACATCATCATCTTCATCTGAATCGACTAATCCTTTGTAGTTAATTTGCTTTTTAGCTCGGCCAACTCTGCTACTTTTCACAACGGGTGAGTCATCGTCATCATTATCATCGATTTTAAACTCGTCTTCTGATTCATCGTCTGATTCGATTTTAATCGCTTTCACAGGAGCCGTTTTCTTCTTGGGAGCAGTAGTCCTGGAAGATGTTGCTGGTTCTGGTTTCGGCTTGGAGGACGCGGCAGCAGTTTTTGGTTTCTTGGCCACAACTACTGGACTCTCATCATCAATGTCCAGGTCATTTTCTGCGTCTCCGTTCATATCATCATCTTCATCATGATATTCTGGCTCCTTAACCAAAAAAAGTATAAAACCAGTCCTGGATGGTATGTTTGGATATCAGACAAAATAACAAAATTACACTTGTTCTTGCCAGTGAAATTGAAATTGATCGGCAATAAAAACATTTCAAACTGCCACAATTTCAGGTTTCAACACAGAGGCGAAGCTGCGCTTCGCAAACACTTGCGAGAACACGACTAAAAAGCAGGTCTATCAAGTGAAATACGAAAAAGTAGAAATAAAGCCCCGAATTAGCAAAAACTCGGCTACGTATAGGATTCGAAACTGCGACCTACTACATTCAAAAGATTTTGGTCTCACGCACTATCCACTCAGCTACGCAAGCTTACCGACCGACAAAACTAGTCACGAATAAAGCAGCTACTTATGCAAATCAATTGCCAAAGCAATTCAGAAAAATTGGCACCAAATACAAATAGACTCAATCTTGTAAGTAATAATTTGGAATACGACAAACTGAAGGCATCCACACTAACTTTGCATGTATAAAATCGCGAAGCAAAAAGCCACATTATGTATAAATTATGCATTTCAAAAAATTGCGAGATAAATTGAGTTATAAAATTTCTGAAATCGATTTTTCATTATTGTTCTTGTTTGAAACAAATCACTTTTTTCGGTTCATTTGATGAATTAACAATGCATCAACTATGTTTAATTATTACTATTCGGATGTCAAATCACATGTTGTGAAAAAGCTTTGAAGGTGCCCAAAAATTTGGGCGACTTAGGTTGGAAAAAAAGACGGTTCGTACTAATACACTCGCTTCGCAAGTGTAACCATAGAAAACGTCTAAGAGTATCATATATGATGTATTCATAGCTAGACACGAAAAAAATATATCGTCCAATTAGAAACAAAATGTTCACCGCAAAAATCAAAGCCGGTCAGAAAAACATTGATAAAAACACAAACCTCTTCATCTTCATCTTCATCGTCATCAATTTCCGACAAATCGTCCTCTTCTTCTTCTGAATCAGATTCCCAAGGATCCTTCTTTCTTCCTCCCTTCTTCGCCGGCGACGACTTACCACCTGATTCCTTTTTCACACTCTTGGAGCCCATATCAGTCAGCTTCATCTGTTTCGATCTAGGCCCAGCCGAGGACCCAGACGCCTTGCTTCCAGCTACTGTCTTGTTCGCGGGTCGCTTCACCGCAACTTTCTTTGCGCCCGACGTTCCTTCTGCTTTCTCAAGTTTAGGTGAAAGGAGTTTCAGAGCTTTACCTTGGCCGCTTTCATTCAGCCGTTCCGCGAGCGATTTACCGACTAGTTCGTCTTCCGAATCAACTGGTTCGGCTTTTACGTCACCACCATTCGTTTCTCCTTCAATTTTCTTGGCCTTCGCTAGTGCTCGTTTACCTGGCGGCTTTTCTTTACTTGCTTTCAGTTTGTCCGAGCTGGGTGGTTCAATTAGCTTTGCATTGGCACTTGGTTTCGTATCAAGCAAAGCGCCCTCTTTCTTAGTAGACCTCCCGATTTTACCCTTCTTCTTACTCGCTGCTTTGTTAGACAGCGCTACAGCCGCTGCGCTTTCTTCATGTTCAAGTTGTTCTTGCACTGCCAATTCTTTCAATGTCGCGTCAAGATCATCAAGCCACAATTTCTTAATCGTTGTTTTCTCCAATATTTTCAACTCAGTCAGTTTTTCGTCTCTTTGCTTCAGAATTTCATCTTTCTTTTCTTTGGTCAAATTTAGCAGCGGCATTCCCAGAAGGTACTGATAGTCGGGGCCGGATTCTGTTTCCTTTGAAGTTGTCGCTTCATCTTCATTTTCACTGTCCGAAACTTCATCGCCCATCAACATTTTCAACTTTTTACTTTGATCGTCTTTCCACTTTTTGACAGGATCTGAAGGGTAATGTTTGGCAATTAACTCCTTGATAAGAATCTTTTTCATCTTATTCTCCACAATGATAGTTCCTTCAATTTTTTCCAGAATGAACCGAGCAATCGCACTCAATTTTTCACTCTCACAAGTCAATAATCCGACCATAAATTTCTTTCGTTTATCATACATGTCCAGTCTTATGACAAAAAACTCTTTCAAAATTTCAATAGTCGATTCGTATTTCTTGATGCAATTATTCGAATCAAAGAGAACCATATTTGAACTTGCTTTATCCGTTGCCAATTTGAAGAATTTGTGCAAACCCCCAGCTGAATTTTCTGCTTCGTGCAATTTATCCGCTGGCATGTAAACTACAAACTTAACAGTCGTATCCGTGTGATACTCTTTGTAGTCCGTAATGACTGGTTTGTCCTTTTCGGTCCCATTTAACATCGGCTCTAAGACCGCTTCTTTGTAGTTTTGTGTCCACACACCAACGGGGAGTTCTGTAATCTCAATTGTAGTTTCATCTAGAACGGCCACATTGCCGAAAACAGTGTAATGTTCCTCGTCAATTTGACGAACAGTTCCTTGGAAATTTTTCCAAGATGGCATCATCGGCAACGGTTCCTCGGCGTTCAGCAGTCTCTTCAAGTTTGCAATGACTTCTCTTACATCGTGGTTCAATATCTTCGTCGACCAACCGGTTCCGATACCTTCAGCGCCGTTAATCAAAACCGTGGGAAGTACTGGACAATAAAACTCTGGCTCAATTTTCTGGTTGTCTTCAAACTGCGGGTTCAAATTTGGTTCGTCGTTGGCGTTAAACATGATTTTGGTTACCGGGTTCAACATCGTGAAAATGTACCTTGGACTAGCAGCATCTTTGCCGCCTTGCAATCGTGTACCGAACTGTCCAATGGGCAAAAGTAGATTCAAGTTGTTTGACCCGACAAAATTTTGGGCCAAATTTACAATTGTTCCTTGGAGGGACACTTCACCATGGTGATACGAAGACTTTTCAGCAACCGAACCCGCAAGTTGGGCAACTTTGACTTCTTTTTTATCATTCCTTTTGAAACATGTGAATAGCACTTTTCTTTGACCTGGTTTGAGTCCATCCATTATATTCGGAATTGACCTTTCTGTATCCGCGTTTGAAAACAAGACCAACTCCTTGTGAATAAAGTCTGAATAAGTGACCGTTTTTGTGTCTTTCTTGTAGAGGTACACCTCTGATTCATTATTGCGACGTCTTTCAGTTCGGTCAGTCATGAAATTGGTAAGCCAATCTTTTCGCTCGTTTGCTTTGTTCTTCGCGAATCCGAGCTCAATTGAATTGTCACATTCACGACCACCATATTTAAACAGAATCCGATGTCGTTCCATGTCTGAGAAATACTCTTTAGCCTCTTTCATAGTTGAGGTACCCAAACCTTTGTAGTACTTTATACTATAGGTTTTCCAATTCGGGGTATTATTTCTCCATTCATCAAATTCAGGTAAACTAAAGAAGGATTGAACTTCTTTACCTTTTGTCACTTTAACAATCGGGGTTATAAACTGCTCAACAAAGTTCTTTTTTAAGAGTCCCGGCCAGAAATGATGGACCATGTTAATCAACAGTCCTTTGATATGTGATCCGTCTTGATCCTGATCTGTCATTATCATTATCTTTCCGTATCTCAGACTCTTTAAATCATCGACATCTTCGTACTTCTTCTTCGGTTGCAAGCCAACTATTTTCATAATGTTATTTATTTCTTTGTTTCCAATAATTTGCGACGTGGCAGAGTCCCGGACGTTCAGAAGTTTACCTCGTAGAGGGAAGACTCCGTAATTGTCTCTTCCGACTACTCCGAGTCCAGAAACAGCCAAAGATTTGGCCGAGTCTCCCTCGGTTAGAATCAGGGTGCAATCGTGAGAACCTTTTCCTCCGGCTTCGTTGGCGTCATCTAGTTTGGGTATACCCTTAAGCTTCACCTGAAATTGAGTTTTTGAAAATTTCACAGAAAACTTTTAATTCACTGGTGTCTCAATATGTCATTTTAATTCAATAGATAGACATTTTTTTACTTGTGGATATTTATGTCTGCCTGTCTGTAAGTTCTATGTAAAACATAGCCAACTGACAGTTGGAAAAGAAACATGAACGCAAGGAAATAGAATAAAATTGACTTTTTTAAGCTTCAACTTGCGAATTTTAACAAAAAAAAGATTTTTTAACGAACAATTTCATTTTAACGAACAAGCTCTTTAATTTTAACGAACAATTTCTGTTTGACTCGCTTTTGATGAAACTAACCCAATTTGAGAAAAATGGATCAATAGGTAAAATTTTTATTTCGCCGGGAAATCTGATAATAAAATTCCATTTCCAAAATTAGAAGTTAATCACGTTCGTGAGTCACCTTTACATTTTTGCTGTTCGATAGTGGAGTTTGCCTTCATTTTATTAAAAGAACTGAATTTATAAAGAACTCAATAGTCAAACCGCGAAACATCAAAATTGAACGTGAACTTTATCCTGAAAAATCACCAAGACCTATAGAGTACTCACTACGTTCATTACTCCTAGAAGGTCAAAAAGGAACTAAAAGCACGTTAAGCTCGGCATAAAACAAAAAATTACCCGAAAGGAATAAACATCTCGGCCATGAGATTTTCCCTTACTTTCGTGATAATTCCTGTTTTATTTTGTTCATACCTGTTTCTTGTCAGTTCCTCCTTTTTTGTTCAGATCTTTCTGCGCTTTGAAGTTCAGCCACTGCAACACATTGTCCACAATCCCACAGTTAACCACACCCTTCATGAAATTCTCCGAAAGCTCACACTTCGAGCCGAACTTCTTCGCTTGGAGCGTCATGTTTTCCTTCGTTTGAGAATCGAAAGTCGGGTTCTCAACGAGACAGTTTATAAACACCCACATTTGATTCTTAACTTGAAAAGGCTTCACTGGTTGTTTGTCTTTATTTTTCCGGTTCACAGTCGTAATCAACTTCTCAACTAGTTGGTCTACAACAGCGTTTACATGCGTTCCGCCTTTAGTTGTCGCGATACTATTGACGAAACTGATTTGCTTGAAGCCAGTTTCAGAGTTGCAAACCGCCACCTCCCACCTTGTGTTGACTTTCTCGTGCACCAAAACAGGTGCCTGGATTGTTGGATCATCTTCAGCTGGTTTCTTTATAAACAACTCCACGTAGTCTTTGAAACTTTTAATGGGCAAAAGTTTTCCGTTCAAGTAAACCGATATTCCCGAAACTGTAGCACACATATCGTAAGCTCTTTTCGTGAACAATGCAACAGTATCTGCATCCATTTTTTCCATGTTAAACTTCGTAAGGTCAGGTTCAAAAGTGACACAAGTGTAATCCTGGTCATTGTTGTTCTCAAGTATAACGGGCTCATTTGCCTTCGACATGTTATTCGCCCACGACTGTTTGAACTTCTTTTTATTAGCTTTACTCGCTGTTTCCACAGTGAACTTTTTACTAAACACATTGCACAGTTTGGCTCCATAACCGTTTCGACCTCCCGTGACCTTTTTCTGAGTGTCGTCAAAATTGCTAGAGGTTAGAAGGTGTCCAAAAATGAGTGAAGGGACGTACATCTTCTCCGTCTTGTGCATTTGGACCGGCACACCTAGGATACAATTAGGCCCATATGAATAATCTCCCTGAATAGACCAAGTGAACAATCCCACCTTCAAAATTTAATGGCAAATTCAAGCATTAAGGCGTGCATGTACTATGCTCAAATCTGATTGGTTGAAACCTATTACTTTTAACCAAGTGAATGATCTTTCCCCTAATGTGATTTAGGGGGAGATTATTCACTTTGGTCCAACAATTACTGGCCACTTTTTTTGCTTGTTTTATCAAGTTGAACCAACTATTTTTGAATAAACTATAAAACATTATACAGAAAATGAAGTAAGCAAAGCAGCTAATTAATTGGTAGTTAAATTCGAATACGAAGAAGGACCACCGGCTGCTCTTTCACAAATTTTTCCGATTACCAGGATTTAGAAAATGAATTTTAAAAATAGTTGAAAATTTCGAAATTAAATCTTTTGAATTATTATTATTTTTTTTCAAATTAAGGGCGATTACATTAGGTAAAACACAGATTAAAAAACAGATCAGATTTTTCAGAGTCACAAAATTTCGTGCGATTTGGCCTAAAAATCGGATAAATACAGACCATTATTCTCGACAGACTTTTTGGAACCCAAAAATCAACATCATTATTTCAATAGGAATAGGTCGTAGATATGATTATTCTAACCTGATCCATCGTTCCAAACAGAGTACACGTTCTTTTCCGGGTCAATAGTGATTTTCAGCTTTCTCATTTTCGGATCACGTTGCTTATTGTCAGCCGCGTTCACTAAGATTTCGTCGAAAATTTTAAACAGTCCGGGAGTAAAAGTGACCGGTCTGAATCGCATGCCCAGTTCTTCTCCATCATAAACCCACATCTGCTGGGTAATTGGCTCGACACTTCCAATGTATGTATCAGGTCGGAGCAGAATATGTTCCAACTGGGTCTTTTTCTGGTATATTTTCTCGACTGAGTGTTTCCCACTTGGCGTACTACTTGTTCTGGAGCTGGTATCTCCTTGTTCAGTGACCGCGTGGCCATTCATCTTGCTCGGTTTAAAGAGACTCCCAGTACAGCTCAGATGACGTTTCCAGACTAGCTTGGTTAGCTGTTCTACACATTAATTTGAAAGTATGTTATCAAACTTCACTCAATAAAACAGCAAAAAATAATTGCAAATGCAGACAGGGGCGGATTTAGGGGTAGGGGCTGGGCGGACGACCTCTTCTCAGGGATTCGATTCCCTGCCGACCCAAAGGTTCCCGCCTTTGCACTATTTTGAATTATCCATTTTTGGCTGACGTCCCTTTTTTTTAAAGGCGCCTTCGGTGCTTCGGTGCCAATATATACTAATTTTGCCAATATATACTAATCCAAAAAATGTCTAAAAACAATTTTTCAGGCCTGTTTTTTGAAAAAATTACCTGCGGCCTAGAAAATTTTTGATAAAATAGGGTCGTAATTGTAGTTTCGGAGAGCTCAGAAAATCCAATTACTCGGCCTAAACATTAAAAAAAGGTCGACAAAATCTTTGAAAATCCGCCCTCCCTCGACAAAATCCTAGATCCGCCCCTGGAGCCAGAGGCCAAAATTTGTTTTGACCAAATCACACTTTGAAAGGTGCAATTAAACACGGAGACACAAAAATCTACATCATTATGGACAAAACTCACTCTCAACATACTTCATCACATTAAAGCTGTCTCATTATGAGGCTTCTTGCATGCGAAACCTGACTTGGCGTATAAAATACCCAAATCCAAAGCTCAAGCTTCCTCACTACGTTTACTGGCGTTTTGACAGAGCCCAAAGAAATTGAAAATAATTCCTTTGAAATGCAAGAACAGCTGTTTGCAGTGCAGGTATCACCAATAATTCTTACCACGTTTATTTGCAGCAAAAACCAGAATTTTCAGTTCAAGGCATAAATGTTTTTCAGATGGTATAAAGTCAGCTAAAAGTTAGAACTGTCTTAAAAACATACCAAACACAAATAATCTATAACCTGCTTCAAACTCAGAAAATAATAGTCTGAACTAATATCATCAGCATCTACTGTACTTAAGCGCTGTTTATATGCATATACTGCAAAAAATGCCTAAAAATTGAAAACAAAACATAAATCCTCATATTAAAAAGATAGCCGGTTGCTGTGCAAGTAGCACAGAGTGTTCAGACCATAGTCTTAAAATTATACAAAAAAGCTTTTTCAAATTAAAAATATTGTCTTTTTTTTCGGCGTGGTGTGATTAAAGGCAAAAAACTGGGGATTAGGTGTATTCTACAACCATACCAAAATAAACAAAATGAAAAACAATTTTTGAAGAAAAGTTACCAGAAAAATTAAAAAAAAAAGAAAATTTGAAAGTTTTTTGCATTTTTTTTCTGAAAATTTTGATTCCAAAAAGGCGCTAAAACATTCAAAGCAAACTAAAAAAAACCGAAGTTAAACTCCGTTTTTACGTTTTAAATTAAGCTATTCAAAGCTTTTTAAGAAATTAAAATAAGACTGCTCGCTCGCTTTATTCGCTCGAAGACGAAAAATCAAAAATTTCAAATCGGTTTTTCTCGAGACTGGGAAAACATTTGTGAAATTTTTAAATGTGGTTCAAATCACGACTGTAAGGACTGTAACAGGATATATCACTCAACCCAGTAAGATCGTTATTTGTGTTACCTGATTTTGCGTGAAAAAAATTAAAAAATAAAACAGACCCGAATACAAAGTTCCTCCCCATTTTCATTGGTCGGGACAACTAGATCTACCAAATTTTCTATTTGTCTGTCTCACATGGTTTTGAATGAATTCATTTTGAGGAAAACATACCAAGTACAAAAACAAAGATTAAATTAGCATCGGATCAAGCTTACGAAGCGGTAACAAAGCAACAAACCTTGGGCAGACACCCTTTGAGCTCAGTTAAATGAAAAAATAATAATAATAAACAAAAAACTGAAATTGTGCCAAAACAGAGTTATTAAATAAACCGGAGTTATTAAATTTAAAATCAAGATAACAACGGTTTTCGAATAGAACGAGCACCTAAAATGCAGACATGCTCAGCAAAAAAGCTGTCTCATTATGAGGCTTCTTGCATGCGAAACCTGACTTGGCGTATAAAATACCCAAATCCAAAGCTCAAGCTTCCTCACTACGTTTACTGGCGTTTTGACAGAGCCCAAAGAAATTGAAAATAATTCCTTTGAAATGCAAGAACAGCTGTTTGCAGTGCAGGTATCACCAATAATTCTTACCACGTTTATTTGCAGCAAAAACCAGAATTTTCAGTTCAGGGCATAAATGTTTTTCAGATGGTATAAAGTCAGCTAAAAGTTAGAACTGTCTTAAAAACATACCAAACACAAATAATCTATAACCTGCTTCAAACTCAGAAAATTTTCTATTTGTCTGTCTCACATGGTTTTGAATGAATTCATTTTGAGGAAAACATACCAAGTACAAAAACAAAGATTAAATTAGCATCGGATCAAGCTTACGAAGCGGTAACAAAGCAACAAACCTTGGGCAGACACCCTTTGAGCTCAGTTAAATGAAAAAATAATAATAATAAACAAAAAACTGAAATTGTGCCAAAACAGAGTTATTAAATAAACCGGAGTTATTAAATTTAAAATCAAGATAACAACGGTTTTCGAATAGAACGAGCACCTAAAATGCAGACATGCTCAGCAATTATCTGTTGGTTGACAAACTAAATGAGAAAATGATTCAGTGATTATGCTAGAAAAGCAGTTTAACTGAAAAAGTAAGTTCTGATTTAAAAAGCAAGAAAATGCTCGCGTATTTACCATTTTCAATTATAAGCAAAAAAGGCAACAATTTCAGTGTGACTCCAACCAACACCTTAAATTTAGCTGGAATCCATCAAATTGCAGATCATCATGCGATCGAGGAAACCATTCGTTAAAAAGAAAAACGAAAAACTCGAAAAATCAACCTTTACTGTTATTTTTGAAGTGAGATATACAGTGGTGACGCAGAGTCAAAAAGCAGTACCTCGCAAAAACCAGCGAATAAGCGTCAAAAGGAAGCCTGAAAATGCAAACACAAAGTTGTCGTTAAGGCAGGTTTTTTCATTTTCACAAATTTTACATGTAATAATTTGGAATGTTTTAAGCTTAAGGCAACCACACTAAATTTGCCTGCTGCAATACTGTCCCCAAAAAAGCACAAAAAATGTACCTTAGGTTTTTTTAAAAGTTCTTTCAAATGTAACAATACGCTGCGCTTGTCTGAAAACGAAAAAAGGCCAGAAAAGATATATAGTTTTGGAAAAGAAACGATGTCTACAGGAACCGAGTAACAGGTCTAGAGCATCCAAGACGACTGCCCTACACATCTATGCTCATGACTCTTCAAGAACAGAAACGACATCATAAAAAAAGAGAAAAACGCAGATTCCGCAAGCCATTTTTCTGAAATATTTTTAGCTTCTCTCAAAAATATAAGAAATTGATCTAGAATTACCCCAAAACATTCTATTTGGGGCTTTTCTTCTATTTTTTACCATCTTATTTTATACTGAACTTTGTATTGTGGTTTCTGACGTGATGTTTATTGCTTAAAACTATCAACTCAGTTTCGTTTGTTTTCAGTTTTGATAAAAGTCATATGAAACAAGGACAATTTTTGACAGTGTCCTGGCAATAGCTGAAAAGCAATTTCAATGGTAGTATGTTGTCAGCATTTTGTACCAATTTGCACATTTCGGCTAATTGTTCATGAAGTTATTCATGTATAGGTTGAAAATAAGGGGTCCCAAAATTGTACCTTGCAGTGCACCATGGTGGAAGCAGATCCAATAGGTTTCGCAAATATTTACAACAGCTTTTGTTGTCTATTGCTGATGAAAGTAAGAACGGCTTTCATTGCTGGCTCAGCGAATTCCAAATCTTTCAATCAAGTCTTGAAATTTTTAATGGTCAATAGAATGGAAAGCTTTTAATAGATCTAAGAGATACGGCAACGTTTTTCTTTTTATCCAATGATTTGCGGAAAATATAGTATTGCGTCCATCATTGAATATGAAAATCTAAAATAATGCTAGATGTTGATAAGCAGGTTGATAGATAATAGATAATTATTGATCTGTTTGTATAAAAATTACTCAAAAATTCAAGAGTGTGCCTAATATGGAGATTCGTTTTTATTCCGCTGCTATTTCTGGCCGCCGCCGCTTATATATTGAGGAAGCAATCGCTTTTTTGAGTCTAGTTGGAAATAAATTTATTTTTATGGCTTCATGTGAAAGAAACGCGAAGTTTGGGCAAATTTCATTGCATACATCTTTTAGAACCCAGGCAGAAAAGTCGGAAGGTCCCGCTCGTTTATTTTCATTTAAATTAATTAGTTCTTTTTAACACTCAACTTCACTAACAAACCGGAATTTAAAAAAATTGTCTGCTGTGTTTTTTTGTCCTTGTGTTCGTGTTGGTTATTTTTTCAGAAAAGTTTTTCAAAAACTACAGCAATACTAAAATTTTGTTTTTCCTCAGAAACCATAAAAATGCAGAGAAAAAATCACCAGACTGAATACAATTTTGAGATTCTATGAAGCCAAAAACCTTACCGGATTCATTTTGAAAAACAGTTTAAAAAGATCTTTATGATTTTGTTAAAAACAAATTAAATGATAAAGCACTACAAAGAATAGACCATGTGCATAAAGAAAAAATAGCAAAAAAAACAACCGAAGATGAAATTTCAAAACGAAAAAGAATGCGAAACTCCAAAAAAGTTCATTGATTTCACAATTTTTCTTGGATTCCGTAGCACTTAAGGTTTGCTGCAACCCATTCTTTCAATCAAACCAGTTGCAAGAAAATTCAGCAGCTCAATCACCTGCACCGAAAAGTATCAAGTAATCTAGTAAACACAACCGGTCGCTCAACGAACACTCAAAAAGTTTCCGGCTTAAGTTACCGTTACTTAGGTTTTTGAATTCTTTTCAAGTTTAATTTCTTTCTGTTTTTATTAAGAGCGTCAGTGAGTGAGGTTGATTTCAAAAAATTCGAAAACTTCTTGGAAGAGTTTAATCAATCTCAAATAATTACACTGCAAACTGACCATAGCAGGAAAATAACCGATAGTATAACAAATTGACACCAAGCATGCTCATAGAAAAAAATCACAAAACCAGCTATCGTGGTTGCAAAATAGTCAATTGAAAAGAAAAACTGAAAATGCGAATGCTTTTGTAAACGAGCTTTAATTTGTGATGCGACCGCTTAGCTCACAACCGAGTTTCAAGAGTCAGGTTCTCAAATCAAAACGAGTCGGATCAATTTTTATCAAGAACTTTTTCGGCAATACTGCCAGCATCAGTTATCTAGAAGACAAATAATTATCAAAAACAAAACATTAAACCCCAGAAAACTTTTGACAAATAGACAACAAAGGATACGTCACTACGCTGATAATAGACATTTAGTTTAGGATCTGGCTAGAAATTTGGATCTGGCTACAAAGCAAGATAGTGGAGAAACTGTGCAGTATAAGAGCATCTGACTTGCGCTGAAATTCAGCTGAATGAATATGGTAAAGTACTATACGCCGGAGCCGAAATGAATTTAAAATTATTACGAACCTTTAAAGAACTTAGTCAGCTTCAAACCAAATTTTGACTTCAACAGGCTGTAACAAGATATCTGAAAAAAAAATTTCAAGCAAACATTTGTTCTAATCAACCGCCACCAATTTGGATACAAAACATAAAAAGGTAACTAAAAAGGATAACACAAGCAACGTGAGCAAAATCAACTAGTCAACAAAAATAAACCAAGCTCTAGTTTTTCTTTGAATCGCCTGTTTATGCGCCTATTTTAGCAAAATGTATTTCTAATGCAAATTCCTCAGCTTATTTTAAACCTTAAATGCCGGTTTTAACTATGCTATTGACTTTCCCGTCGGCGTGGAATCTCTGGAATGAAAAATTATTCAGGCCATGTGAAGTAATCTCAACTACGGAACCGGATCCCTTCCACTACCACCCACATTTGAAATTCAGTTTCGAAAAACTATTTTAATGTTTGTAACATTCGCACGGAAGTACTTATCGACGGAAAATAAAGCTAAGCTCTAAAACGACTGGCTAGCGTCTAAACACAGCTCTACATGCTTTTCACCGTCTCTGCCAAAGCCAGTTCTTTTGGTGCTCTTTCTAACATCAGGTCGACAAAAAAAACATCAGGTTCCAGAGTATTTTGTTCCAGTGTAAACTGGCTTGCTTTCATATTCACATATCATAGCGACAAAAAAAAACGTTACTCTTTCCGGCTTCGATCAGAACGCTCTAATTAACTGAATAACATGCAAAAATAGTGAGCTCATGGCTGGGTTTCAGTATCCCCAGACCACGAGTTCACTCCTAAAAACAGGGCTTCTACTTATTTATTATATTACTATTGTATTTATTCAGTAGATAAAAATCATCATCTCCATCGAAGATGGATCAACCCTTTCCCTCAACTCCTAGCTTTTCATAATCTGAAAACGGAATTGGATGTTATTAATTCAATTCATGTGACATTCGACCAGAATGGACAAAATGCAATCTCTGCAGACTTCGAAATTTTAGCAGTGAACCTTCCGAGTTAATGATTTTGAAGGATTAACGACGTTATTCGGATGATTAGCAGAACGGGGAAGGTCAGGATATTCTCGTATTTTAAAATTTTAAATTTTCGAAGTGATGACGTAACATTTCTGAGAAACGTCAGAAACGGCCATTTTAGCAAAAAGAACTAAGAAGAACAGAACAACTTTATCTGTGATTGCGAACAGAACGGAAATCGAAATTAAAGAAAACGACAACGAATTACAGAGAACGTTCCGAGTTGCAACTATTGTGCTGCTACAATAGTTCCAAGGCCGTTGCGAACAACGGTGAAGGGTGAAAACCAGCCTTCCGTGTTATCGTGAAATCGAACTTAAGGAGCTTGATTCAGTGGATTCACAAATCCGGAAGGGTTTCGGAACTGAAACTTTTAACCTGTTATATGAACTTTTAGCATCCTGTCATGTCCTGACTTGAATTTAACTGATATTTGGATTAGTTTTGACAAGGATGAGGTGCTAGGAGTTGGGGGAAAGGGTTGATCCATCTTCGATGGAGATGATGATTTTTATCTACTGAACAAAAACAATAGTAATATAATAAGTAGTAACCCTGTTTTTAGGAGTGACCTCGTGGTCTGGGGATACTGAGACCCAGCCATGAGCTCACTATTTCTGCATGTAATCTAGTTAATTTGAGTGTTTTGACCGAAGCCGAAAGCAGTAACGTTTTGTCGACCCGATGTTAGAAAGACCACCGAAAAGTACTGGCTTGGTAGAGACGGTGAAAAGCATGCAAAGCTCTGTTTAGATGTTAGCCAGTCGTCTTAAGACTTAGTTTTGTCTTCCGTCGATATGTATCTTCCGGGCGAATGTTACATAGATGTTTTTATGGCACTCCTGGGTGTTATTCTTGTGCCAGTCGGTCATATTTGGAAGTTTGACCTTGAGAAGAGCAGAAAACACTTGATTTTGGAGTGAAATTTAATTTTTCAAAATTTCGAATGGAACCTGTCATGCACGATTTTCTCGCGAGAACTGAAAATCAGAAAAAGGGATCAGAACAATTTCAGAACAATTGCGGGAAAGTTGTCAGATAAAAACGAGTGTGAAATTGCAATTCGCAATTTCCATCATAGTGAACAAGAGTAGAGCTGTCCTATCTGAAATAGAAGACAGAGTGTTCCCGAGAGAACAATTATTCGAACTGGACCAGAGTGAACCTTCGACGGAAAGGTGGACAGCTTGAGTGTCCCAATGGTCCACATAAAACTGCAGTCTAGAGTAAAAACTTGTTCTTGTTGTTAAAACTGACTGACATTAAACTTATCTTAGTTACTTTATTGATTCTTGAGTTGTTTACCGACTTATTTACTTCCTGGTTCTTGAGCGTGCTACAATGTGAGTACTTAATTTAAATTCTAGAGTGTGTTTTATGATTGTTATGTTGAGGTAAGGCGAGTTTTAGGTTGATCCATCTGAAATGGATCAAAGTTCCACTGTCTAATAAAAAAGCAACTTAACGGATTGTTCCAACCCGGTTTTTAACGGCGTTCATGTATTTTGGGTATTTTGAGACCTAAGTATGGGGACGTTCTTAATTCTAGAGTGGGGGGATATTTTGGTAGTAGCCTTAAGCAGTAGCGGGTCGTAGTCTCATGTCACAAGCGAACCGAATTGGCTCCGACTGATTTGAGGTGGAAAAACACAAGAGATAGTGTCCCTGACTCCCGAGCCAATAGTTATAGGGCCTCATGTGTGACTGTAGTAGACGAATGTTACATAGTGTTTTTATGGCGCTCCTGGGTGTTTACGACATCAAGACTACGGAGTCGAACCCACTTGAGACAGCTTCGGGCTGAATGCCCATTCTAGAGTACCGGCGGTACGGTTCGACAGGAACGTGCAAACCTTCCGGTTGTACCGTGATAGCTTTTTAAGAAAACTCGAGAAAATTTCCTGGTACGCTTTCCGAACGAGGCTTAGCTAACCGAGTAAAGGGGGGCAACTAGGGGGACAAAAACACGAGCAAAAAGACAAAAAGCAAAAAAAAAACCAAAAAAGAATAGAAAAAGGAACAAAAACCATAAAACGAAAAAAGACAGTGACTTTGACACCAGATTAGTTGGATCAAACCTTTATATTAATTAAATAGTATACCCATACTGTTTTACAAGTTCGATCGTTTCGATCAACCTAGCAATTTAAACCAGTAAACTGAATAAAGTGCCCGAAGTGGGGCGTTGTCAAGGGTTTTCAGATAGCTTGGAACTTAGCTGAACCAATAGGAGACTTGACTGGAAGAGGTGACCAGCCGAGTGGGAAAGTGGTTCAGGGACACTTGGCTGAACCAATAGGAGACTGGACTGGAACAGGTGACCAGTCGAGTGGGAAAGCAGCCAAGAAGGATTTGGCAATTCTCGAGTTCTCAAGTTGGGCAGAACGGGTATCGTTAGAATCCACATTACATTATAGGAGATAAGTGTAAAATTGGATAAGCGAAATCCCCCAGTTTTGAGGAACGTTTTTACTTGAGCAGGCCTGGAAACAGGTCTACGGTTTTCTCTTGAGAGGTTTAGCACCCGGCGCTTAAAGTAATTTTTAGGCTTAAGAAGGGGGGCTAGAAAGGGGGGAGGTTAGAACGGGGACTGGTTAGGCTAGAGGTTGGCGGTTGTAAATTGCAAAAAGGGGGAAATTAGAGTAACTAATTAGTCGACATCGTTGACTTAGTTACATTAGAAATTAACACGCGTTGGTAATATTAGGTGGAGATCCAAAATCCAACTCGAGTTAAGGCTGGTACGCTGGTTGGTTTGGTAGGGGGGACCGGATATAGACAGCTTTTGTGATACCCCATAAGATCACTAGTGGGGGGAGGAGAACGCGTGGCAATTAGGTACCAGACATTTTTTTTAGACGAAAGGTAGACATTGGTCACCTTTAAATTTTAGGTGGGCTCATTTTTCTGTTTTTATTACTTTTCTTACTTAAAATTTTTGTTGCATTTTATTGAGGATTTGTGTTTGGTTTTATACGAACAGGTGATCACAAGATACCTGCGCACCTACATTGAAATAGAAACAACCAAAAAGAAGAAGGGGGTCAGCATTTGGCTTTTAAGAGAGGGTTTTTGGGGAAATTTTACTAGAGCTTGAGTGGTGGTACAAGGTACGGTGGTTCAAGAAGACCCTACAACGAGGAAGACACTCCGTGACGAGTATTGGGACAAGACCGAAGAAGTCTTGGGACAGAGCAGTCTTGGGATAGTGGTCTTGGGACAGGGTCTTGGGACAGTGGTCTTGGGACAGGGTCTTGGGACAGTGGTCTTGGGACAGGGTCTTGGGACAGTGGTCTTGGGACAGTGGTCTTGGGACAGGGTCTTGGGACAGGGTCTTGGGACAGTGGTCTTGGGACAGGGTCTTGGGACAGTGGTCTTGGGACAGTGGTCTTGGGACAGGGTCTTGGGACAGGGTCTTGGGACAGGGTCTTGGGACAGGGTCTTGGGACAGGGTCTTGGGACAGTGGTCTTGGGACAGGGTCTTGGGACAGGGGTCTTGGGACAGTGGTCTTGGGACAGGGTCTTGGGACAGTGGTCTTGGGACAGTCTTGGGACAGTGGTCTTGGGACACTAGTCTTGGGACACTAGTCTTGGGACACCAGCCTTGGGACACTGGTCTTGGGACACTACCCTTGGGACACTAGTCTTGGGATACCAGCCTTGGGACACTGGTCTTGGGACACTACCCTTGGGACACTAGTCTTGGGACAGTAGTCTTGGGACACTAGCCTTGGGACACTAGTCTTGGGACAGTAGTCTTGGGACACTGGTCTTGGGACACTACCCTTGGGACAGTAGTCTTGGGACACTAGCCTTGGGACACTAGCCTTGGGACAGTAGTCTTGGGACACTAGCCTTGGGACACTGGTCTTGGGACAGTAGTCTTGGGACAGTGGTCTTGGTACAAGGGTCTTAGGACACTAACGGAGAGTACTGTGATAGTGACGAATAGTCTTGGGACGGTATAGAAATTGAAGTCAAATTACAACAAGTGCGTTTTAAGACAGAATAAGACAAATCGAAATAGGTAG